AATATCGACTCTGAAATTCAGCACAGGATTAGCAGTGCCTCAAGAGCATTCTGGAAATTAAAAGACAGGGTTTTCTACAATCATGACTTGAGTACAAGAACGAAACTGGCAGTGTACCGAGCAATTATAATCCCCACCATGTTATATGGGAGCGAAACCTGGGTGCCGTACCGCCGACACATGAAGGCATTAAATAAGTTGCAACAGAGACACCTTAGACAACTCTTAAGAATCCGGTGGTTCCATCATGTCTCAAACGTATCGGTCCTTGAAAAAACGAACTGCGAGAGTATTGAAGTCATGGTTATAAAATCCCGCTTAAGATGGGCTGGTCACGTATGCAGAATGCAAGAAAACCGCATACCAAAATCTCTGCTCTACGGTGAGCTTGTAGACGGTAAGAGGAGGCCGGGTGGACAACTCAAAAGGTACAAGGACATTTTCCACGAAAACTTAAAGGGAATTAACATGCAGAATCATTGGGAAGAAGCAGTTCACAATAGAACTCAATGGAGAAGAATTGTAAACTCAGTTAACAGCGACAACCAAAAAGTAAAGAGGCAACAAAGCAGTGAGATTTTTGAATGTCCGGAGTGCGGTAGGCAAATAACATCACGTATCGGGCTTTTGAGTCACAGAAAAGCTCATGAAAGAAAACGCCTTGCGTGACCACCTTTTGATGCGTGTCGAATACTTTTCAGCGAATAATGGCAGTATGTATGTATGTAACTCTGAAACGGTTCGTTTGAGGTACATGGGGTGTATTTCGATTTTTGCTTAGAATTGAAGGAAGAATTGAAATATGCAATAATATACAGGGGGTTCAATTTAAAAAAAAATGAAATTTTGATGTGCCACGACTTTATGACCGACCCTGTATGCATAAATTTCCATATTCGTTTTGTTTTAATTATTATTTAATAATTATTATAATTTTTAGTTTATTATAATTTTTAATTTAATATTTGTTTATATTCCATATTTTCGTTTTTTTCAAAGTAACTTCTGAACTAATGCCGAAATTTGAATGAAAATTGGTTTCTGGGTGTTTTTTGACATGGGAAATATGATTTTGATATCGATATGGCACCTACTTCTAGGGGACACCACCTACATGTTTTTGAACTATTTTGAAGAGTAATAACTTTTCGTCCATATCTGTATTAAACTACTGAGCGAAAAAGGTCTCGTAGTAAGAATCGCTAGCAGCAACCGCTATCAAGATATTTGGAATGGAAATTGTCAATACACGTCATTACTGACAAAAAATAAACATGTTGACAACATAGTTATTTGACTGAAATGAAAATTTTGGGAACCTTTATTTTTTTAATAATGATTAATTTTTCTAGAAAAATTTTTGAATAAAACAGTTTCTGTTGAACTTTTGACACAAAAGAATTCCAGATTTATTATTTCTGTCTAACAACTATCTAGGAAACATGTTTAATTTTTGTCAATAACGACATGTATTGATTATTTCGTTTCCAAATATTCTGAACCATTACTCGAAGCGGTTATTACTAGGCCGTTTCATTTATTTATTTATTACTATGGCTATGTAAAGTGATTAAGAAGGAATCCAAAAATGCCATAATATAGTAGATTTTCTATTTAAAAATTAAACATCCCTCCTCCAGTTAAAATATTTTCTTGAAATAGGCCCTAGTACATACTAGGTATAGGTATACACTTAAAATAAAATTTCTATGTTCGTTTTTATAGGATCTACAGATGCCCGACGCATTGTTGTTGAACCCTGTATATCAAGCAATATATAAATTCAATTTGTAGATATATGCAATATTTCAAATATTTTCACAGGTCGTATAAACAATAAAATTAAGCATGCACATTCTACATATATAACAACACAAATAACAAAATATTTAACTCAAAATATGTAGATAAAACCGAATAAGTGCAATAAGTAACAAATTAAAACCTACAAAATTTAATAATATTAACTAACCCCTTATTTTTGTCTTATTTACTGAAAATGTTTTTTGACTAAATCATATATTATACAGAGTGTAAATAATAGAGAAAAAGTCATTGCGTTTTTAAAATAAAGTGGTTTTCCATATAATTTTTTTCGAGATAAAGTTTTTCGATAAAAGTTTTAGGATTTTACGTAAAATCTAAAAATAGAATAAAAAATAGTGTGTCTCGTTAAAATGTTATGTTTTCTATACTTTTTTGAGACACAGTGTATACTCGAAAATCCAAAATAATTTTAAATTGTAAATCAATCTCCAGCTTTAACACTATTCCAATTAATAGGTATTTCTTCATAATTCCAAAAACTGATTAAATATACTTTATTCTATTTTTGACTCACCCTATAACAAACTGATACGGCCTAAAATTAATTTATTATTTAATTAAAACTATTTTTTGGATTAATTAGGTTAGCAAAAATAGAGGTAAAAAATGTAGACAATGTCAATGAGTATTGAACAGTTCTGGATATTCCATTCATATTTATATAGCGTTTAATTAAGGCATTTAATGATAATAATGCAATTAATAATTAAATTAAAAAAAATACAGAATCAATATGTGTTTTCTTAGACTCATGTACCATGTATAAAACTATAAGTACTTATTTTTATAAAATAAATACAGACACATGCATGCATGGTTTAGATGTTAACAACTCACCCGTAAATTTGGCTGTCTCGAAAACTGGTCCTGTTTCAGAATATAAAATTATTCTTTTGTAAAAATATGAAAATATACATTAAATAACGATAAATACTTTTTAATATAATTTTTAACTAAAATCTCTATACCGGGTGCGTCTCAAAAGTGGCTCACCCCTATAACTTTTTTATTTTTTTAGATAAAAAAACCGAGATATGATATGTTAGTATATAACATAAATTAGGATTGTGTTTGACGTATTCAATTGTTTTCAGTTACTTCCTGTTATACCGAAAATTACTTCAACTTTGAATTTTTAAATGGCACCCTCGGTATTTTTTTACTTTATTCGATAGAAAATGTCACTTTGAATAGAATAACATATCATACGTAAACTTTTGATATTTTCGCATATGGTTTGTTTGAAATTGTAACAGGCGGTTCATAACGACAATTTCACTCGAAATACCAAGTGTGGTACCAAATTATTCGCAAAAAAAACTTTTTCCAAATATGCTAATGAGCCATCCTAGTTCCATTTAAAAAATTCAAATATGATTAAAAATACAATTTGAGCATCTTTTAAATGGCCAGTACAAGACATTAAAAACAGACGATTTTTACAATGCTCTTTGATCAAAAATTAGTGCTTTTAACACAGCCATGGTCCTCTAGATTGAAGTTACAACTTATTTAAGCGAGAATTTCAAAAGTTGACATATGATGTGTCACTCTATTCAAAGTGTCATTTTCTATTAAATAAAGTAAAAAAATACCGAGAGTGCCATTTAAAAATCAAAAGTTGTAGTCATTTCCGGTGAAACAGGAAGTGACCGAAAACAATTGAATACGTCAATCAATCCTAATTTATGTCATATACTAACATACCAAATCTCGATTTTTATCTGAAAAAATAAAACAGTTATAAGGGTGAGCCACTTTTGAAACGCACCCGGTATAGGGTGGTGACTATTTCGATGCTCAACATTGGTATTTTGGAAACTACTAAAGATACGAATTCGGACAAATGAGACAAAAGTTACGTTATTAGCAGTTTGACAAACTCCCCGATAACTTGATTACGTAGTTTCCGATTTATGCAAAAAAAAAAATAATACGTTTATTTTAAACGACAATATCTTCAGAACTATTTATCCATTGCAACGTTGTTAGTTGGTAGTTTTATATTTCTGATCTCGGCCAATTAAATACCGTTTTCAGAAATTTTCTATGCAGTCCAGATTTAGCACAGCCACCCCCCACCAAAGCAAATTTAATAATAATCTCGCTCTAATAAGATTACGTAAACTAAAGGAAGAAAATCCTCAAAAATACCCTAACCAAATCACTGAAATATTTTCCTGAAATACGTCCTAGTACACAGTTAGCTCTGTATTTAAATGAAAATCCTATGACCTTTGTTACAGAACCCAAAAATGCCTACTGTTGCAGGATCCTTTATACAGGGCAGTGCAACAGTGGACAAATTTTAGCGCTTAAAAGATTACTAATTATAAAACACTTTTTATTTACGACGATCTGATTACAAACACATAGCATGCGTTAAAATATAATCGTTATGTAAAGTGGTTCTGAAAGCGTGAGCGGAACCAAAGTTTTATGTATATGTTTTTAAAGCGACATATTGTGAATAATTATACAGTATGTCCCCGGATTGTCTTTACAAGAGGAAAAACTTTTTAATTATTGACATTGTGAGAAAAATGCATTCTTCATAAAAATTTTAGCTTGTTCTAAAATGGTTAATCCCGTTTATACTTTTCCAAATTTCCATACCGTTTTAGAGAGAATTAAGAAAAACATGAAAATATGGTTGATTTTTTTCTAAATCCTAAAAATTAAAACGGGTTTTTATGGTAAGATAACTTCGTTTTCATTTTTTGATAGATGTTATTCATAGAACGTTAATTAACGTAATGTTTTTGTTGCTTTATTAGCTTTTTCAAATATAACACTTTAACAACAGCAAAGAATATGACATTAATCAAAATTAATAATAATCTGTAATAACCACATATCAAAGATTAAAATCGAATTGATATTACCATAGAAACGCCTTTTGATTTTTAGAACCATTTTTAGGATACAACTACATTTTCATGTTTTTCTTAATTTTCTCTAAAACGGTATGGAAATTTGAAAAAGTATACAAGTAAGACAAGTTAAATTTTTTTATGAAGAATGCATTTTCTCAAAACGTCAATAATAAAAAAAGTTTTCCCTTTTGTAAAGACAACCCGGGGACATATAAATAACATAGGTAACTAATATAAGTATGTTATTTTTTATAGTACTTTTTAACATTTATATATTACTTTAAATAGGTTTCTTACCTTTCGTTTTCTTTCCTGAATAGAGCAAGTATTTCTTCAAACGTCTTGTTCTTTGTTTCTGGTACCTTCTTATATGTAAAGGTCCAAAATAAGGCTAAGAATGCGCTAAATGGCAGGAACGTGTAATTATCTAGATAACTCTGAAATAAAAGTCAAATTTAATATTCTACTTCTTCAAGACTAGGTTGAAAATACGCTAAGTATAAATATCTCAGAAATATTAATGCGTAATATAAATTTTTACTACAGTGGGGACATTCCAATAAGCAATACTAAATTATAAGATGAAAATATTAAGGACATTATTTAAATAATAATTAAGTATCAAATTAATTAATTCAGAAGCATTTGTTATTTTTGAAAATAAAAGGATTGCGGATTTCGCGAACGTTGCTTCCTTTTTAAAACAACTTTTACGATCCCGTAATTGTCATACTATACAGGATGCTACAAATTCGAGGTACGAGGATTGGTATCTCGGAGACCATAATAGATACGAAGATGGTTAAATTGGGACAAAATTACCGCCTTGGGATGTTCACCAAGATGCCATCAAAAAAGTTTTAAAAATAACAAGGATTGCTGAGTTTTTTGGAAAAACGGATTTTTTTAAAAATCAATTTTATTTTTTCCTGTCGCTACTTTTTAGAAAATCAAAAAACTAATTGCACATTCTCATCGCCACTTTATTAGGGCTATCTCGTAGTATTTTTATATTTTAAAATTAGCTGTTAATTTTTGAGATAGAGGCCAACTTATTTTTTTTAAATACGGACCTGCATTTTTTATACAGGTTTTGAAACAACTCGGTCGCCTAAGTACAATGATGCTACACTTATACTTTTTTTGTTTTGGGTACCTTAACAACAACAAAACTATTTAATTAATATTTAAAATAATTTTAAGTCCGACTCTGGTTTTTTAAATTATTTAATCTGATTATATTCATCGCATCAATATTGATCAGCGCTAATTAACAGAAATAAGACAATTCGAGCCAAATGAAAGATTCAAATAAATAATAACCGGAGGTCAGCAATTTAAAGATATTTATATATTTTTAACTTTTTTATTGTAAATTTGAAATCTCAGTGTACGATTTAATAATTTGCATAATATTAATCGTAGTTATTATAAATAAATTAACTTCTACAAACTAGTTTCTAATGCTCTACATGTTCGAAAGGGTTGCCACCTATTTTTCGTTCAATTTTATTTATAGCTCTTTGAACAGATCTTCTTGTTATACTTCCGAATGCATTTTGCACCCTTTATTGTAAATGCTGAGATGTATTGACTTCACTTTTACAAATGACGTGAAGTAATGCCCTCCCCCCCATATTATTTATTTTATATTACTTTTTATTATTTAATTGCATTTCATTTTTCGTATTCAATGTATTACCCCACATCATTGTTAAGTTTGAAAGCTTATCAATATTGTAACGATGAATAGATTAAATATTTAAAAAAAAACAGAGCCGAACTTGAAATTAGTTTAAATAAATTGTGTTCAAATTTCCGAAACAAAAAAATATTAAGTGTGTACTCAGGAGACCGAGTTCTTTGAAAAACTGAAATAAAAAATGAAGGTCCGTATTTAAAAAAATAAGTTAGCCTCTGTATCTCACAAATTATCAGCTAATTTGAAAATATAAACATAATATCAGATAGCTCTAATAAAGTGGCTATGAGAATGTGCAATTATTCTTTTGATTTTCCAAAAAGTAACGACAGAAAAAAATAAAATTGATTTTCAAAAAAATCCGTTTTTTCCAAAAAACTCAGCAATCCTTGAAATTTTTAAAACTGTTTTGATGGCATCATGGTGAACAGCCCAAAAAAAACTTTGCCCCAATTTAATCATGTTTGGATCTATTACGGTTACCGGGATACCAATGCTCGCACCCCGAATTTGTAGCACCCTGTATATTATAGTTTATGAGATACAAGCAATAGAACCGAATATATTGAATTTTGGACCAATTATAGAATTTGATACCATTAAGCATGATGTTTCTATCGCACATTCTTGGCTGGTGACTGGTGACTAGATTATTTACAAGATTTGCCAGTTTTATAAAGAAAATTATTTATATTGATTGTACAGTGTGGCGCCCCTGATACGACGCGGAGGCTCCATGGAGAACGGTAGTTTATATCGAAATGAACTTTTGGTAGCATATGTAGGTTAGTTTAGAGCATTTTTTAAAAAATATAGAGAATTCTACAGGGTGTCTCCAAATCAAAGTTGGGTGTTTTGTAATGGAACACTATATATTAACTGATTTTCAAATTCTAGGAAAAAAATAAGGGATAAGTTTCATCAAAGAAGCATATGCCTAAAATGCAAAGTTTTTGACATATTTCACGTTTTGTGAAAATGAAGAATGAATTTTTTTAAATTCAATAACAGCTATCTAAATTGTTACCTATTTATCCTGTATCCTCATATTTAGTTAAAATAACCACTATATGTAAAATTAAATTAAAATTTGACCCGAAAAGTTATACAGGGCAAGACAAAATTGATATTGAACAATTGTCACTTTTAAAAGCAAGTTATTCCTTTATTTTAAATGGAACATCCAGTATATTATTCCGATGGAACACCCAGTATATTATTCCGATATTCAATGGAAAATTCATATATATTCGAAATACTATTAAGGTTGCCTACCCCTTCGACAAAGATTTTTCTAGATATTTTCATTTTTATGATTTTGCTTCAGTAGATCTTTATTAATTGATAAAATCTAGGTAGCTGTGATATACCTTTCGTTAAAACACGTTTAAAACATTTTAATTATTACACAATTAAGGCCAGTTATAAACGTATAATTATGTGACAAAAATTAGCTAGATGAAATCAAATGTCCAAAATGCTTCCTTTCCTCTTCACTGCATAAAATGATTCTTTTTAAAAACCTTACATTTCAGTCATATGTATACTTCTCTAATGAAACTCACCATTATTTTTCTATTAGAATCCGAAAATCAATTGATATATAGGGTGTTCCGTTACAAAAAATACAACTTTGATATGTAATTTTTTTTGGGGGACACCCTTGTAAAACTCTCTATATTTAAAAAAATGCTTTAAATTATCCTACATATGCTGACAAAATTTTATTTAATACAAGCTGTCGTTCTCCTTGGAGCCTCCGCGTCGTATGAGAGGCGCAACCCTGTATATGGATATGATGATTTATATAAATATAACTTGTATAACAAATTTATTGTTGTTAAGTAAGTGTATCTACAATTACAAAAAAAAATATTTGTGTTCTTACCTTCATACTTGGGAACACAATGCCCACCAAGAAATTTGCAATCCAGTTAACTAATACTGCTATGGACATAGCAGCTGGACGAGGTCCTTGGGAAAAAAGTTCGGCAGTGATCATCCAAGGTATTGAGCCCGGTCCCATTGCAAAGAATTGTACAAAAAAGAGTGTCGAGACCACCGATAAATACGACATCCAGTCGATCATTTCCTGCACATAACCAAAAAACTCCTATCAGGGCGTAGAACAATGTCCTTTCTGGACGAGGGAGGAGTGACAAGTGTATCGGTAGTTGATATATAAAAGTAGTATTGATTGGGGTATGGTATAATGTTTACTTTAAATATGTCAGGGTGGTGCAACCAAGACGGCTTTAAGTATAGTTCGTAAACGGTAACGCACTTAAAAGTCATTGTAAACGTCAAAACTGGTTATAATGCGTGATCCGAATTAAATGATATCAAAAGAATAGTTCCGGAGATATTCTAAAAAAAATCAGTTCTTAAAAATTCTTTTTTATTTTTTCCCGAATATATTTAAAAAATATAGTAAACAACAATTTTTTATGCCAACTCTTTCTTTTTAAGGAACTGACAATCTTAGTTTTTGTTTTTGACATTTAATTTTCTTGAGAATTTTATCCATTTTTTAAATATAGTAAACGCCACGAATGTTTGGGAGTGATTCATCGCTTGATGAAGTTAGAATCGACACGCGCGCTATCATTTTCACATTAAAAACGTAAATTTTTACCGCCGACGTAGGTTTTTAAAGGCCCGGTCTAATCGTCTGCCTGCGCTCCTCCTACTTATTCTAAAATGCTAGCGTGAATGACAAAGACGATACTATATCGCGTTTCTTTGATTGATTCGTTTTAGTGCGTCAGTCCATTGGTGTGCTTGCAGTGCGACCAGTGGGGCATTCCAGTTTATATTTATAACCAAATATATGTTTTGACAAGACTTTGATAGTTTGCTGAAATCCTTTTTTAAGTAATTTGTTACTAATAAATATTTTTGTAATATTCATCAATAATAATAAATTTAAAATTTCATGCACAAAAACATAAACAACAGATTATATATATTGATTATTATATGACTTGAAACACCACGACACTGGAATTAAGTTTTATGTGACCTTGAACAGATTAGTTCACATGGTAGCGACCGATGAATCACTCCCAAACATTCATGGCGTTTACTATACCTATTTATTATTGTTGTTTTACTCCCGATTTCCAAAGAGTTAAAAGTTAAGTTAATTCTAAGTATCATCATATGTAACACTTATTATATTAGTGAATGATTCCCACCTAAAATTGTAAAACTACTGAAATTTAAATAAAAATTCATAGATGAAACAAAAGTACGTTAAAAAAAACACGTCAAAGGCGGCGGGGTAATAACAATTGATGTTAATTTTGGCGAGGTCAAGCCCTAGACATCATTTACTTGCCCTATACTGTTGGCTTGTACTGTAAAAATAACAAAAAAAAATTGGCATAACGTGCTTTATACAGGGTATTTCAAAACCCATGTGCCATCTCTCGTGGGGAGATTCCTTACGCAAAAATAAGATTTATTAGATAATAGAGTCCAATAATTCTGATTTCTTTAGTAGCTACGGGGTGTTAAAGTTTTAATATTTTTTTGATTTATTATAATTTTCTTCCAAATACTTTTAGCATTTCGAATGAAATTTTGATGGTAAAAGTTACTATAAATGCGACATATTTTAAAGCTAAAAAAGTGTCGACATATTCACCAGGGACATGTATATAGATTGTCACTGGAATAGTTTTTTCTAAAAAAAGCACGTACGCCACTGACTTTTTTTTCTCTTGTTAGCGAAATAGTGTAAGCAGTTTAATGCCAATTAAAAGTTGTCTCTTGATATTTTGTCTTGATATTTGATTTCGGCCTCCTTGATGAGATAAACAAAATTTTATTAATTTGTCTTGATCCAAGTCTAACAGCAACCTTTAAAGCATTTTAATATCATTAACTTGCAAAAGTTTCGAAAAAAAAGTATGAAAAAAGTCCGTATAAACATGGGTATGAAAATGCATAGTTTTAGAGTTACAAGATGTTAAAACTTTAGTTAGAATTAAAATATGTAGCACTTATAGTAACTTTTACCCTCAAAATACCATTCAAATCACTAAAAGTACTTGGAAGAAAATAATAATAAATCGAAAAATTATTAAGACTTTAACCTTCTGTAGCTACGAAACAAAGCGGACCTATGTTGATATGAAAAATAAATGTTATTTTTACATGAGAAATCTCCCCATGAGAGATGGCATATGTTTTTTGAAACACTGTGTATGAATCAAACAGAAACTCTGGACTCTGGTATTTCTTTAACTTCTTTATCGAGCGTTATGGGGCAATTGCATGAAAATCATCTTTGTTAACTAGTTTCCGTTAGCTCAGAAATAAATTTGAATCATCAAAATGAGCCTGTTGAAAATTTTTGAACTACTCCCATAGATTTGAATTGTGAGGAGATTTTTTTAGTTATAATAATGGCCATATTCGCATGCTGGTGGGATTTCCTTTTTTTTTCACCTTAAAATACAAAATAATGTATATCGGTGTATTTAAAAAAAGTAATATTGAAAATCTTACAACATGTAAAATAATGTTCTTTAGCTGGATGACTTTGACGATCATTATTATTTCTAGGCTTACAAAAACTAATCAACGGTTGCATTCGTTTGTGATACAAGTTCACATAACGCTCACTAGAAATTCTACAGTTTCCGTTTGATTTGTTAAAAGCGCGTATTATATCACATTCTTCTGATTTGATTACATTTTTTGCAATTTAAAAGATAAAAACACCCCAAAATTGCATCAAGTATCGAAAAATGTCAATACAAATCGACCGTAATTGTTATGTGTTTTGTTTCATAGACATCGTTGAATTATTCTTTAAATTTTGTTGCATTGGCAATTTTAGGCGTGAATCGTTCAACAATTTAAAAGTTAAAAGTTTCATATATTATTATGTATACCGGGTGCGTCTCAAAAGTGGCTCACCCTATAACTTTTTTATTTCTTCAGATAAAAAAACAAGATTTGGTATATTAGTGTATGACATAAATTAAGATTGATTGACTTATTCAATTGTTTTCGGTCACTTCCAGTTTCACCGGAAATGTCTACAACTTTTGATTTTTAAATCGCACCCTCGTTTTTTTTTACTTTATTCGATAGAAAATAACACTCTGAATAGAATAACATATCATATGTCAACTTTTGACATTTTCGCATATGTTTTTTTTTTAAATTATAACATGTGGTTCATAACGACAATTTGACTAGAAATACCAAGCGTGTAGTATTAGCAAATTATTAGGAAAAAAATGCTTTTTTCAAATATGCTTATGAGCCACCTTCCTTCGATTTGAAAAAACTGAGATATGATTCAAAATACGATTTGGGCATCTTTTAATCGGCCAGGACAAGACACTAAAAACATTAGATGATCAAATATATTTTTCCAAGGCTCCTTGATTAACAATTAGTGTTTTAACATAACCGTGGCACTCTAGATTGAAATTTAAAATACGATTTTTTATTAAGCGAGAATGTCAAAAATTGAAACATGATATGTCATTCTATTCAAAATGTCATTTTCTATCAAATAAAATAAAAAATACCAAGGGTGCCATTTAAAAATCAAATAATGTAGTCATTTCCGGTGAAACAGGAAGTGAACGAAAACAATTGAATACGTCAATCAATCTTAATTTATGTCATACGCTAACATACCAAATCTTGTTTTTTTATCTAAAAAAATAAAAAAAGTTATAGGGGTGAGCCACTTTTGAGACGCACCCGGTATAATATATAATGACCAGTTAACAAAATTAATCTATATAATTTTCTATCGGGTTTGCCATTAAAAAAATGCGTTTTGTCTCAAATGTGTTTCGAAATTTTTGCTCGTTTATGTGCAACCGTCCAGCCGATTTTGATAGCATCATCCTGTATGAATTAGTTGAAAATAAATATTATAATAATTGTTGCAATAACATCGATAACATCTTTAAAGATGTTATCGATATAAATTTAATAATGTGCTTGCAAAATGTGTTATTGGTGAAGTATTATATTATTTTGTATATGGATGTTTTCGTAGATTTTAACCTTATTCCATATACAAAACAGATATAAATATTAAATTGCGTGCAATATTGTGAGTATTAAGTGAGCGTTAGATATGTACAGCGTCTCTCCCCACCTTGTCAAGAAAGTTTAGCACAATGGGGTAAAAAAAGCAAAAAAGCAGATGTATAGTAAGCCGGCAATTTTTAAAAATATAATGGCTAAATAGTTAAAGAGTTTCTACAATGTTTGCGCTTCTATGCATAACTAATAATTAATTCAATTTAATACTTATTCAAAATATTTAATGTAGCGTCAGTTGTGTAGAAACTTGCTCTCAATAATAATAAAATAAATAAAATACTACTTGCGGTGTCTTGCAAATAAAAATAAAAATCAAACAAAGATACCATATTGGACTATACAAGGTGAGTCTTAAATAAGTGCAAATTGGTTTAGGGTTGGTATACAGGGTGTCCCAGGCTGAGCGTGCATTAGAAGTTTCTAGAGAACTACAACATCTAGCTCGGACATTTTTTGTACATCACAGTTTCACAACGAGATCTATTGATTAAAAAAATTTCAATATTGAGGCACTTCCGGAAATACCGGAAGTTGACAGTAACTTTCTTATTTTAAATGGGTGCCCCCATTTTTTATTACATACTTAAATTCTCTGTAAAATTTTATGAATTTTGATATTAAACATTCTATATCTAACATTCACCGTTTTTGAGAAAAAAATATTTGAAATTTAAATAACGAAGAAAACTACCTGCCAAAAATATGTGTTTAGCCTAAACGTCAAATTTATTGATTAGTGATTAGTACAGCCACTGTGCCATAAAAAGAAAACATGTGGCTATCTATTTCAAAAATTAAACTGTTCGAATGTCATATAATAATGGCCGCAGCTGTCATAGAATTGAGCGATTAAAAAATTATCATAAATCATTTTTTTTTCAAATGGAAACCCACTTTTTTATTTCACTAGTAAAAAGGCTTCAATTCGTTACTTTTTGACTATACATGTTCCTATACCTAAAATAAATCGTTTTTAAGTTATTTAAGATTTAGTTATAAAGCCTATATATTTTTCTTGATTTTAACCAGTAGTCTATGACTTTAAACGTCAAGTGATGTAAAGCAATAGATCTGGCCATGTCATATTGTAACGCTTTGTCCAAAAAGCAGCATCATTTCCGAATCAACTTTGCGCTGTTTTTTTTTTCGATCATACGGAATATTATTATTAATATCAACTATTGGATATCACTAAAGAGCGAAAATACGAGATATAGTTTTATAAATACACTTTTTAAACTCTTAAGCAGGCAGTATTTATAACATAAGAAATTTAAATAATTCGTTTTCTGACAGACGGGAATAAATTGCCTGACCGTTTGACACTTAATGTCAAAGGAAGCTAGATAAAATCAAGAAAAATATACTTTTTCAAATTAAATCTTAAATAACTTAAAAACGATTTATTTTAGGTTTAAATGTTCCTATACGTCTATAGTTAAAAAGTGACGAATTGAAAAACCTTTTCACTAGTGAAATAAAAAAAGTGGGTTTCCATTTGAAAAAGATGATTTAAGATAGTTTTTTAATCGCTCAATTCCATGACAGCTACCGCCATTATTATAATATGTCATTTGAACAATTTAATTTTTGAAATAGATAGCCACATGTCTTCTTTTTATGTCACACTGGCTGTGCTAATCACTAAATTTGACTTTTAGGCTATACAACATTTTTTGACAAGGAGTTTTTTTCGTCCAAAAATTTTAATTTTTTTTCTCAAAAACGGTTAATGTGAGATATAGAGTGTTTAACATCAATATTCGTAGACTTTTACAGTGAATTTAAGTATGTAATAAAAAATGGGGGCACCCATTCAAAATAAGAAAGTTGCTATCAACTTCCGGTATTTCCGGAAGTGCCGCCATATTGAAAATATTTTTAATCGATAGATTTCGTTGTAAAACAGTAAAGTGCAAAAAATCTCCGATCTAGATATTGTGGTTCTCTAAAAACTTCCAATGCACGCTTAGCCTGGGACACCCTGTATTTCGACCCCGAACACGTCTATGAGGATTTTTTAGAAAAAAAAATGATTCAAAATTTTGTTAATCGAATTTTCTTGAAAAAATTTAAATTTCCAGTTAAAAGACATAATACCTTGATAATATGACAACAGAAGCAGTGAAACAGTAGAATAATTTTAGAAAAAGGAAAAAAAAAACAGAAAAAAATCCAGTGGTTCTCAACATTTAAGCAAAAAATCAAAAATTAACTCGGATATTTTGGATTTATTTGAATAACAGCAAAGCGTCTCTTTAATCGAGATCTATCAGCCCTAAAAATGGTCTGCACTTATTTTAGAATCACCCGGTATAAATAAACCTCCAGATACAAAAAAATATCAGACGATTAACCATTTGAATGTTGGCTTTTAATAGCGTACAAACTATTAAGAGCAAACAATACCATTTTGATGTATACTTGTGTACTCTTAACTCAAATATAATTTGAAATACAGTGAGGCCCTCTACATTTATATAGAGTGAAAGTGCAATTAAATATTCAAGCAATATTTTATTTTCCACAAGAAGTATCTTTTATATCGTATGCAAGTGAAAGAACACACCTTTATTAAGAACGAAATCGTTATAAAAATGGAAAATATGAACATTCCTCCTAAACCATAAAGATGCAGCGTCCTTCTACCCATTCGGTCCATCAATGGAATTGAAATGAGCGTCATAATAACCATTATGCAACCGATACCTATGGTCGCAAACTTTGCACTTTCCGGGGATAATCCTGAACTCTCAAAAAGATCTGTCGAATAGTAAAATACCTGCAAAGAATTTTAATAAGATAGTTAAATGATAAATGATGGGAAACTAAAACTTAACTAACTACTAAATTTAAGAAAAAAAGATAAAGCGGGAGTGACAGATTTAGACAGACAGTTAATTAGCTGTATTAACACCTATAGAATTTTTTTTTCTGTAATTTAGTTATCTGTTATTCTAAGCTTGGTGTATTCTTTGCCGGTGCTGCCACCATTGCAGAATATCGTAAACAACCGGCATGTACAAATACACGGGTTTAAATAGCGAGTATACGAAACATTTATAATATAACCAGAGCTGTGACTTTTTTAAGAGATTTAAATCTGTTTTATGATTTAAATACTTTTTCTTTTTTCTAATCTTTGATTTTTAACTTAAAAATATGATTTAAATCTTTTAAACAGATTTAAATACGTTTAGACACGATTTAAATACTATCAAAATGATTTAAATACTTTCGAAAGAATTAAAATAGCTCAGAAGTGATTTAAATCTTCCATATATTTTGCCATAAAACGATTTAAATCATTTAACAAAACGAGTTAAATAATCAAATTACTTTCTGTAGTCTTGTGGTACTTTCAGACATCATTTAAAAAAATAATAAATAAATTATACGGAATGATATTTATAATATGTATATTATTTGAATAATATAACTAATTATACAGAGTGGCGCACCTCATTCGCCTCGGTTGATTATACGAAAACGGAAAGATGTAGAAACAAAATATTTTATGGGTATATGTGGGGAGGCAATGTGCACAATTTGAAATTAGTTTGAAATATACAGGGTGTCCCAGAACTAAGATCCATACCAAAGTTATATTTTTTCTTATGGAACACCCGTTATTTTATTTCATTTTTGGATTCTGGGGTCCAAAAAAAAGGTATTTATTATAACGGTTAAATATGTTTAAAATCTTTGGTTTTTGAGATATTTAAAGATATTTAAATATGCATGCTACAAAAGAATTGATTATTAACACCCTGTACATTACTTTTTAGAATTAATTATTGTACTGAGTTTAAAGGTAAAGAAATAAACTTTACTAAAATATGTTATTGCTTCCTTAAATTTATACAGGGTACCAAAAATTGCTGGTCTATTTTAAATATTCATTTTACATAAAAACTTCGTTATTTCAAATACGCCCTGTATTTTTTAAGTAATTCGAAGCAGATTCATATGCTCTTTCAAACTATATCAGGGTTTCCTATGCCTATCTAGCTCAGATTTTGAATAAAGAGCGATTTTTCTATAAAATGGCAACCAAGAGGGCTAGTGTCGTCAGGGCAAGTTTCTAGTGACAATTAGTAGCTATTTTCAAAATCGAAATTAGTTTATAGACTTTATTTAAATTTATACCAGTTTACTTTTATTTAATTTACCTACAATAGTTTAATCTATACTAATATATAAAATCCTTAAGTGACTGAAATACTGATTAATCACGATCCTGCTCAAACCACTCAACGTAAGAAGCTCAATTTTGGCATACAGGTTGATTCTAGGGTGTAGAGGTTCGACAAGAAGGGATTTTTCGAAATTCCAGTTCCAAGAGGGTGAAACCACCCCTCAAATATTACAATATTTTTTATTTAAAAAACGGCCAAGTTTCCGAAAAAACGCTTAAACACGTATATTTTATTTTGTTTTTTTACATATTTTAAGATTTTTAAAAAATGTATACAGAGTGTTTCCAAAAATCTGGTCATTGATTAATCACGATTCTGCTTAAAGCGCTTGACGTAAAAAGCTGATTTTTGGAAAACGGATTGACTTTAGGGCGTAGAGGTTCGATAAGAAGGGATTTTTCGAAACTCGAATTCTAAGGGGGTGGAACTATCCCTCAAATACTAAAATATTTTTCGGAAAAAACTCTTAAACACGTATATTTTATTTTGTTTTTTCACATATTTTAAGATTTTTTATAAATTTATACAGGGTGTTTCATAAAATATGACCATTGAGTAATCATGATTCTGCTTAAGCTGCTTGACGTTTAAAGCTGATTTTTGGCAAACGGATTGACTGTGGGGTGCAGAGGTTCTAGAAGGAGGAGTTTCTCGAATCTCAAATTCCAAGAGGGTGAAAACGAATTTAATAAGATAGTTAAATGATAAATGATGGGAAACTAAAACTTAACTAACTACTAAATTTAAGAAAAAAAGATAAAGCGGGAGTGACAGATTTGTAGCTGTATTAACACCTATAGAATTTTTTTTTCTGTAATTTAGTTATCTGTTATTATACGCTTGGTGCATTCTCTGCCGGTGCTGCCACCATTGCAGAATATCGTAAACAACCGGCATGTACAAATACACGGGTTTAAATAGCGAGTATACGAAACATTTATAATATAACCAAAGCTGTGACTTTTTTAAGAGATTTACATCTGTTTTATGATTTAAATACTTTTTCTTTTTTCTAATCTTTTATTTTGAACTTAAAAATATGATTTAAATCTTTTAAACAGATTTAAATACGTTTAGACACGATTTAAATACTATCAAAATGATTTAAATACTTTCGAAAGAATTAAAATAGCTCAGAAGTGATTTAAATCTTCCATATATTTTGCCATAAAACGATTTAAATCATTTAACAAAACGAGTTAAATAATCAAATTACTTTCTGTAGTCTTGTGGTACTTTCAGACATCATTTAAAAAAATAATAAATAAATTATAAGGAATGATATTTATAATATGTATATTATTTGAATAATATAACTAATTATACAGAGTGGCGCACGTCATTCGCCTCGGTTGATTATACGAAAACGGAAAGATGTAGAAACAAAATATTTTATGGGTATATGTGGGGAGGCAATGTGCACAATTTGAAATTAGTTTGAAATATACAGGGTGTCCCAGAACTAAGATCCATACCAAAGTTATATTTTTTCTTATGGAACACCCGTTATTTTATTTCATTTTTGGATTCTGGGGTCCAAAAAAAAGGTATTTATTATAACGGTTAAATATGTTTAAAATCTTTGGTTTTTGAGATATTTAAAGATATTTAAATATGCATGCTACAAAAGAATTGATTATTAACACCATGTACATTACTTTTCAGAATTAATTCTTGTACTGAGTTAAAAGGTAAAGAAATAAACTTTACTGAAAAATGTTATTGTTTTCTTAAATTTATACAGGTACCAAAAAGTAGTGATCTATTTTACGATTTATTTTACATAAAAACTTTGTTATTTCAAATGCAACACCCTGTATTTTTTAAACAAATCAAAGCAGATTCAAATGCTCTTTCAAACTATATTAAGGTTTCCTATACCTATCTATCTCAGATTTTGTAATAAAAAGCGCTTTTTAAATTAAATGGCAATCAAGATGGCTGGTATCGCCATGGCAATTTTCTAGTGACGGTTACTAACTATTTTCAAAATCGACATAGCTAATGCTCAAAAGAATTGATTATTAACACCCTGTACATTACTTTTTAGAATTAATTATTGTACTGAGTTTAAAGGTAAAGAAATAAACTTTACTAAAATATGTTATTGCTTCCTTAAATTTATACAGGGTACCAAAAATTGCTGGTCTATTTTAAATATTCATTTTACATAAAAACTTCGTTATTTCAAATACAACACCCTGTATTTTTTAAGTAATTCGAAGCAGATTCATATGCTCTTTCAAACTATATCAGGGTTTCCTATGCCTATCTAGCTCAGATTTTGAATAAAGAGCGATTTTTCTATAAAATGGCAACCAAGAGGGCTAGTGTCGTCAGGGCAAGTTTCTATTTAGTGACAATTAGTAGCTATTTTCAAAATCGAAATTAGTTTATAGACTTTATTTAAATTTATACCAGTTTACTTTTATTTAATTTACCTACAATAGTTTAATCTATACTAATATATAAAATCCTTAAGTGACTGAAATACTGATTAATCACGATCCTGCTCAAACCACTCAACGTAAGAAGCTCAATTTTGGCATACAGGTTGATTATAGGGTATCGAGGTTCGATAAGAAGGAATTTTTCGAAATTCCAGTTCCAAGAGGGTGAAACCACCCCTCAAATATTACAATATTTTTTATTTAAAAAACGGTCAAGTTTCCGAAAAAACGCTTAAACACGTATATTTTATTTTGTTTTTTTACATATTTTAAGATTTTTAAAAAATGTATACAGAGTGTTTCAAAAAATCTGGTCATTGATTAATCACGATTCTGCTTAAAGCGCTTGACGTAAAAAACTGATTTTTGGAAAACGGATTGACTTTAGGGCGTAGAGGTTCGATAAGAAGGGATTTTTCGAACTCGAATTCTAAGGGGGTGAAACTATCCCTCAAAAATTAAAATATTTTTTATTTAAAAACCGGTGAGTTTTTCGGAAAAACTCTTAAACACGTATATTTTATTTTGTTGTTTCACATATTTTAAGATTTTTTATAAATTTATACAGGGTGTTTCATAAAATATGACCATTGAGTAATCATGATTCTGCTTAAGCTGCTTGACGTTTAAAGCTGATTTTTGGCAAACGGATTGACTGTGGGGTGCAGAGCTTCTAGAAGGAGGAGTTTCTCCAATCTCAAATTCCAAGAGGGTGAAAACGCCCCTCAAATATTACAATATTTGTTATTTAAAAAACGGTTAGTCTTACGGGAAAACGCTTGGACAAGCATAATTTATTTATTTTTTTACATATTTTGAAATTTTTTAAAAAATCATACATGGTGTTCCAAAAAGTTGGGTAATTTTTTAACCACGATTCTGCTTAAACTGCTTGACGTAAAAAGCTTATTTTTGGCAAACGGATTTTTCGAAAGTCAAATTCCAACGAGATGAAACTACCCCTCAAATATTACCAAGTTATATAATAATATCGCCATATTGTTTTTTCTCATGCTGACATAAATGTTAAAAAATGTTATCCAGTTTGTATGTTAATGGAAATTCTTGCTTTGTTTTATCATCACCACTACAAATTAGTAATTCGTCGCGAACGAAGTCGCGGGTACACGCTAGTAAATAATATTTGTTAATACGTATCATATATGGTCTATCAAGAAAAACGAAGAAGTAGTTCTTTGTTTTATTTTACGATAAGTTGTAGATATATGGATTTTCTATAAAAGAGCCAATTACGGCAAATTCATTTTCTTTACTTCCAACGACAGGTTTCTGCCTAATAAGTTTTTTATAAACTACACTCTGCGAAATAGGACAAGTAGTTTTTCAAAGGAACGCTTATCAGGAAGATTTTTATTTGGATATCTTTGAGCATAAGCTCTTGAGGCCAAGAAACAAGTTCCGCCAGCCGCCAGAAGATACGGTTTTATTTTTCTTCATAAAATAAAGAATACTTACTTATTGAACTATTGTGGGTAAATTTTAGTAAACTGTTTAAATAATAATGGCCATAAACTAATGTCGATTTTGAAAATAATTATTAACTGTCACTAGAAAATTGCCATGGCGATACCAGCCATCTTGATTGCCATTTTATTTAAAAATCGCTTTTTATTCAAAATCTGAAATAGATAAGCATAGGAAACCCGATATAGTTTGAAAGAGCATATGAATCTGCTTCGATTTATTTAAAAAAATTCAGGGTATTTCATTTGAAATAACAAAGTTTTTATGTAAAATAAATCCTTAAAATAGATCACCAATTTTTGGTACCCCTGTATAAATTTAAGCAAGCATATAACATTCAGTAAAGTTTATTTCTTTACCTTTAAACTCAGTACAAGAATTAATTCTGAAAAGCAATGTACAGGGTGTTAATAATCAATTCTTTTGTAGCATGCATATTTAAATATCTTTAAATATCTCAAAAACCAAATATTTTAAACATATTTAACCCTTATAATAAATACCTTTTTTGGGCTCAAGAATCCAAAAATGAAATAAAATACCGGGTGTTCCATAAGAAAAAATATAATTTTGGTATGGATCTTAGTTCTCAGACACCCTGTATATTTCAAAATAATTTTAAATTATGCACATTGCCTCCCCACATATACCCATGAGATTTTTTGTTTCTACATCTTTCCGTTTTCGCATAATCAACCGAGGCGAATGAGGTGCGCCACCCTATATTATTACACCGACATTTTTTGTCGGGTATTTATAAAATTTTGTGTAAGAATTGTAATCAAGAATATGTTAGACAAACCAGAAGATCAATTATATCTAGATTTGAGTCACATATGAGTGAACATATGAGTCACACAAGAGACCACACAAACATATTTAATTGTATAAGGTTACATAATTTTACTACTTACAGCGTTGATCCCTGATAACTGTTGCGATAGCTGCATTACAATACCAATAATAAGTGGTGCACGAAGAGTGGGTGAGCAAATTAGTTCCAGCATGCTAATAGATGACTCGGCTTGTTGTGCTCGTTCTTCGGCTCTCATTTCCTCAATATCTTCTTCCACCTATTAGCAGATAGTATGCATTTAATATGCAATTTAAATATATAATAAATATAAAAATTAGTTACTAACTATCATGGGACTATAAACATGACATTTAATACATTTTTTAAAGAATTGGCGCTTTCAATACCCAATAGAAAGATCTATAAAAAAGCATACCATGTCTTTTTGAATTTATTTTCAAACAAAATTAATTTGAATGTGATAGACAATGACTCAATATTTATACTAAAAAAAGAATTTCGGGCTTCCCTTGTCTTTATGTACACTCAGATGCAAAAAAAACGCAACGGAGAAAATTTTGGTCAAATTTAAACTGTTATATTTTTGTTAATTTTAGCCCTATTTTCATGATTTTTTTAGCAAGCTGTATATAATTATATCGGCTTTAATTTGTAAACTCAATTTTTTATAAACTTTAGTATTTGGCATTTTATACAGGGTTAATCGAGGGTTTGTTTTTTTACCTTAACTTTGACACACCCTGTGCAATAATTTCGTGTGTAAATTTTCCTGAAATATAATTTTAGGGTCAGAACCATGTCTCCTGAGCATTTTGTTTTTTGGATCATGTCAATACATGCCTTAGTTAATTTTTAAGAGCGAAATGAACTTGCCACCAACAATTTGCAATTTTTTCAATTATAATTTAATTTTTTTCAATATAACAAGGCAGCTTTGGTGATTATTATGAACTATATACTACTATGAATTGTCCATCATGTTCGATGTTTGGGAAATGCTTGGCAGGAGGGTTACAGGTCGCGAAGCGTTACCAGCTTCATTAAATGAACTTAGCTTGGTTCTTAAAGAAGAATGGGGAAACATAACGCAATATGATATATGCAGCCTCAATGACAGTATGAACAAACGTATACAGGCAGTTATAGCAGCCGGGGAGGCAATACAAAGTATTAGGGTATTTTTTACAATTTTTTTTCGGTTTGTATACTTCAGTATACCAGATGTTTTCCATCAATCACCAGAATATCGTTAGTTCTGTTATCGTTATTAATGTTTATTAAAACCAGGACTGTATCGTAAGTCTTTAACATTTTTTTTTAATTTAGTATAGAGTATCCGATGCAGCGTTACGACAATAGTCACTAAAAACATCTAGTCTTTTTAAAAAATTACATCAAAAGTAATAATATCTGAAAAAAATGCAAATTGATCGTGATCAGTTCATTTTGCTCTTAAAAATTAACCAAAGCATGCATTGACGTGATCCAAAAAACAAAATGCTCAGGAGACATGGTTCTTACCGTAAAATTACATTTTAGGAAAATTTATACACGAAATTATTGCACAGGGTGTTTTAAAATTAGGCTAAAAAAACAACCCCTCGATTAACCCTGTATAATATGCCAATTATTAAAGTTCATTAGAGGTAGAATAATTAATTAAGTATAATTACATACAGTTTGCTAAAAAAATCATGCAAATAGGGCTAAAAATAACAAAAATTAAACACTTTAAATTTGACCAAAAATTTCTCTGTTGCGTTTTTTTGCATCTGAGTGTACATAAAGACAAGGGAAGCCCGAAATTCTTTTTTTAGTATAAATATTAAGTCATTGTCTATCACATTCAAATTAATTTTGTTTGAAAATAAATTCAAAAAGACAACGTTTCGGTTAAAACTTTTGGAATACTTTAAACAAAAAATGTATGTTTTTTTAATACTCCATCTAACAAAACAGTAACATAGAGTGTATTCCATAAAAAAAACAATTAAAATTTATTTTATATTTTAGCAAGTTCTGCGTAGAGACACCCTGTTAAAGATTAAGATATTTATAGCAAAGTAAATACAAACAATAAACATAAATGCTACAAACAACACAAAGTCCTGGTTTTGCGAAGAAATCAAAGATTTTTCACAACAAAAAAAGCGAAGCTACATTAAATACAAAAGCACACCATCGGAGGAAACCCATCGAGAATATGTTGCAATAAGAAATAGAGTGAATTCTAGAACTAAAGCAATAAAACGAGAACACTGGAGTAAATTCACAAGCGATATGGACCATGACATATATGGAGCACAAAGAAAGGTATGGAAGATGCTGAAAAACAGAAAGAAACCAGTGAACGAAAATGTACAAAGGGAGTTGAAATTAAAACATGGAAAAAATACTTCACGGTATTATACAGCACATAAGATACAATATACAGGGTGGTCCGAACTGTATTCCGGAAACTCCGGCAGCACATCCTGCAGATAAAAATAAGTAAAAAAGTTCATATAAATGTATGTCCTAAAATGCATAGTTTCGGAGATCCAGGGTGTAGAAGTTTCATTTTTATTTCGATTTTTTCGAAATAATTTATGAAGTAACGTCAATATTTGGATGAAAATTGGTATCTGGTAGTTTTTGAACATGAGAAATTTGATTTTGATGTCAATATGACTCCTACTTGTAAAGGGCGCTACCTATATGTGTTTTAACTGTTTTGAAGAGTAATAACTTTTCGTTCGTACCTGTATAAAACTACAGAGTGAAAAAATATACATTTTCATGACTTTTTACGTAAAAAATGTCTCTTAGTAAAAATCGCTACGAGCAACCGTTCTCAAGATATTTAGACTGAAAATAGTCAATACATATGTTATCATTGATAAAAAATAAACACGTTGAGTAGATAGTTTGGTTTGGTTTGGTTTGGTTGACTGAAATACTAAATTTAGAAAGTTTTTATTTTTAAAATTAATTATAAACTTTTCTGCGAAAAAATGATACTAAAACAGTTTCTGTTGAACTTTTGGCACAAAAACATTTCAAATTTATGATTTCAGTCTAATAACTATTTAGTCAATATGTTTAATTTATGTCAATTATGATAGGTATTGATAATTCCGATTTAAAATATCTCGAGAACCATTACTCGTAGCGATTTTTACCAAGAGATATTTTTTACGTAAAAAACTTCGTGAATGTATATTTTTTTACTCAGTGGTTTTATACAGGTACGGACGAAAAGTTATTACTCTTCAAATCAGTTAAAAAATATGTAGGTGGCGCCATCTACAAGTAGGAGACATATAGACATCAAAATCAAATTTCTCATATCAAAAAACTCCTAGGCACCAATTTTCATTCAAATATTTACATTGCTTCAGAAATTATTTGGAAAAAATCGAAATAAAAATGAAACTTCTACACCCTGTATTTCAGAAACTAAGCATTTAGGGCATATATTTATACGAACTTTTATACTTACTTTTATCTGCAGAATATGCTGCCGAAGTTTCCGGAATACAATTCGGACCACCCTGTATATTGAAAACTACGAAACAAACTATCACGCAACAATCGAAGAGGAAGAGATACTTAGAACAATGAAGAAATGAAGAACCGAAAAGCGCCAGGAACAGACAATATTACAAATAAACTTCTGAAGCCTGGTGGTTCCGAGCTAGTAAAATATCCAAGATTGTTATTTAACAAGATTCTCAAATCATTAGAAAATCCGCAAAGCACAAAAGCGTCACAATTCCTATATTTAAGAAAGGGCAAAAAGCTACATCCGAAAACATAACTCTCCTCAATACAACCATAAAACTTTTCACTAATATTTTGAAAGGAAAACTTGAAGAACAAATTACGAATAGGGACGAACAACAAGGTTTTAAACGAAATAGATCCACTACAGACGCCGTATTCATCATTAAACAAATTAAAGAAAAATCAATAGACTTCATCAACTTGACTTAAGCCCCATTCGATGCTTAAAAAGTACGCTATCTGACGTTATAAACATATTGAAACAGAAAAAAGTGCCTGATAATATTGTGAAAATCATCAGAAAGCTAAGTATCGATAACAACTCAACTCAAGTAAAAGCAGGAAATAATCTAACACGAGACATACCAACACCAGGAGGCATTAGAAAAGGAGACAGCCTTAGCCCCTTCTTATTTAATCTTTTAATGGACATCATCATAGAAAAGGTGACGATGAACATCGGTTATCAAATGGGACACAACCGAGTTAGCATGGTGTGTCACGCTGATGATGTGGTCATTATCACGGAGACAGAGGACGATATGCAGAGACAGCTTCATAAATTCAATCAAGTAAGCCGATAATTAAATATGATTATCTCTACACAAAAAAAAACTAAATGCCTAACTTTCTCTAAAGAGCCGGTAAGACGCAAACTTTTAGTAGAAAACAAAATTATTGAGCAAGTATCACTGTTCAGATACCTAAGAATAGATACGTCGTACTACCATGATTCAGAGAAAGATTTAATGAGCCGAAACACTAATAAGTGTCTACGGGTAGTCATGTTTCATGGCTAATCTTACTGTAGGTTTGCCCAATAATTTCATTCTTCTTATTTTTAATTTATATATTAATATCTCTGAAATTATCAAAATATATTTAATAATATCTTCGGATGATGTAAAGTGGTCGGGAAGAAAACCAAAAAAAAGCAATAATAAACAGATTGTTCCATTTAAAAAAATATCCTGATCCACTGACACTTTGTTCAGCCTTAAAGTTAAAATATTTTCCTGAAATACATCCCAGTACATACTTTATGGTGCGTTTAGACTTGAGCACGCACGCACTGATCCTTCGCGAATGCTCAAGTGTATACGGCTGTACGCGCACGCCCACTCTGAATCTGTCTGTGCGCGAGCAGCCGCGAACGTGAGCCGTCTGGTGCCGGTTTTTGGTCCGTGCTCAAAGGGATTTATGTGTGCGCGAACGCTCAGTTTGCACCGGCAATTTGTTTTGCCTGCGTTCGTGCGTGCATGTGTGATTTTTTTTCCGTTTTCTTTATTAAAAGTATGGAGTGTATCAATGAATCTTCGTTATTATTAATTGAAAAATATGAAAAGTTGCCTATATTATGGCATGTTAAACATTCTTCGTATTATTAAAAAACCAAAAAAAAAAATAACGCATGGCAAGACCTTGTAAATAAAATTAATATTGAACATGTCGATATTAATGAAATTGCTATTCTAAAATTTGTATATTTTGTTCGTAATTTTTGGTGTTATTAAATTTTGTAAATATTCAAAGTCGGGCCTGGTTATTCTTGTAAAGTTTTTGAACTGATCATAGCCCTCCTCAGACACTAAGTTGTTGCAGTAAATTATATCGATTTCTAAAAATTTGGGTTTGCCACCAGCGACGATGTTTTCGATTTGTCTTCTTTTTAATAATTAAGCTGTACATAACAATGACTGCAGCCCCGACTATTTCTTGTTTCTTGGTCGTCCATTATTTTTGCCAACACAACTCTATTGTGCGCGCACAAGTGGATCACTTCATTCGTCGAAAAATAAGTTTTTAATTTGAACGGAGCCGAGAGCGCGAACGAACGCTCAGCTCGTGCGTGCTCAAGTCTAAACACACCATTAGGTTTGCACTTAAACAAAATTCCAAAAACACACCTGCTATTTTATTTCAGGTGCTACAGATGCCCGACGCACTGTTGCAGGACCCAGTATGTATAAGATAATAAAGAAATTTACCTGATTGCTAGCTCTCAATCTTCTCAAAGCTCTTCTGGCCTCTTCTTCCCATTGTTTCGTTATAAGTAGATACCTGGGACTCTCTGGACACACTGGAAGAAGAAGTAATTGCATTAAGGCAGGTACAACAGCCAAACCTAGAAGAAGAGGCCATCCTTCGCTAGTTCCGAGTATTTGTTCGATACCGAGCACCTGAGATATTAATAATCCCACAGTAACTGCTAATTGATTAATTGTTCCTAATCCGCCACGTAGATTCAAAGGGGAAATTTCGGATATATACATAGGTACTAAAGAAGTATTCAGTCCTAAAAAAGAAATATATATTTGCAATATTTGTCTGTTTATATTATTAATTTATTTTAATCATCAGGATAAAGGAAACAAGTTTAGATTGGAATGCTAAAGGCTTGCCGTCAAGATTGATAATTGTTTTGGAGCGCATGCGTTGGAGGGCGCTGCTATAGCGGTTGCTAAGAACAACGGCTAGCAAGAACAGAATTAATTTTTTCTTGTTAAAATCAGAATCTTCAAAAATTATAAAATCTTTCAAAATTTAAACCGCCCTCATTGAAAAAATATTTAAAAGTGTTTAAAGCGTCCATTTTGAATGTAATTATTGCTATATTGTGAGTTTAATTTAAATTTTATTTACTCAAACCCGTGATAATTGTGAAAAAGTGGCATTAAAAACTTAAAAAGCTGTGTGAACTGTGAACTGCAAAAACCATCGTGGCATAACGTCGGTTTCCAATGTTTCATAGGAATTTCATGCATGTCCTTTTATAAAATAAAGTTTCTTATATGCAATACACTGTATTTTATTTAAAAAATTAAAAGAAAATAATAATAACTTTGAATAAACAATATTTGGCGACTTAATTCCGGAAAACGTCGAACCGCTCCGAAATTATCAAAAGCTTTGGAGAGCGACCGTTCTAAGAATAGCGCCAAATAGTCTTTACATTGTCCTTATGGGCACTTTCTAATCTAAACTTCTTTTTTTATCTATGATATATCACACACTTACCACAATTAACGCCCATAATAAATCGGCCAAAAAACAGCATTTCGTAAGAGTTCGCTACTTTTGTACACCACATTAGACATCCTCCAGCAACTCCTAGGATATTATTTAGAAGTAATCCGCCCTTCCTGTAAATATACTTATTTTAGAAGATTTTAATAAGTATCTCATTTTAATAATTTACGTATTTTATTACTAATTTAAGTATTTAATTTATTACATTTTTCGTCGGTTCCGTGTGGATAAAAAGTCTAATTTATTTAACACAATTTATTTTAACACAAAACAAAAAATAAAAGTAACAAAACAATAACGATAACACACTTAAAGGATATTTATAAACTTATTTACAACTATTTATCTAAAAGAGATTTATTTGAATTTATTTTAAAAGGACCGATTCTGAATGTTTTCTGTCCTCCCCATGCCCCAGGCGTCGGTTTATACAGGGTGGCGCACCTCATTCGCCTCGGTTGATTATACGAAAACGGAAAGATGTAGAAACAAAATATTTTATGGGTATATGTGGGGAGGCAATGTGCACAATTTAAAATTATTTTGAAACATACAGGTTGTCTCAGAACTAAGATCCATACCAAAGTTGTACTTTTTTTTATGGAACACCCGGTATCTTATTCATTTTTGGATTCTTGGGCCCAAAAAAAGGCATTTATTATAAGGGTTAAATATGTTTAAAATCATTGTTTTTTAAATTTTTAAGATATTTAAATATGTATGCTACAAGAGAATTGATTATCAACACCCTGTACATTACTTTTCAGAATTAATTCTGAGTTTAAAGATAAAGAAATAAACTTTACTGAAAAATGTTACTGTTTCATTAAATTTATACAGGGGTACCAAAAATTAGTGACCTATTTTAAGGATTTATTTTACATAAAAACTATGTTATTTCAAATGCAACACCCTGTATTTTTTTAAATAAATCGAAGCAGATTCAAATGCTCTTTCAAACTATATTAGGGTTTCCTATACCTATCTATCTCAGATTTCCAATAAAAAGCGATTTTTAAATAAAATGGCAATAAAGATGGCTGGTATCGCCATGGCAATTTTCTAGTGACAGTTAGTAACTATTTTCAAAATCGACATTAGTTTTTAATTTAGAAAGATACTAAAAAGTCAGATAATTTTGCAACATATTCCTTAAAAAATCATCAAAATCGGCCCACGAGAAAAAAGAAAAATATATTAAATTGTAAAATACTACTACTTGTGAAAAAATCTGTTTGTAGATGATTTGAATCTTATGTCTTGTTTCTTACTTTTATCACCCGACACACAACGTTTATTTAACATAATTAAAATTAAAATTGGGGTGCAAGGGGTACTGAAGCGATACATATAGCCTAGCTTACCCAAAAGTCAACCTCACCCTGGTGGTGGTTGGTGCACCCTGTTTAAACAAACGAGGCTCTGACGACCGAGTATAGGCGGTATATCATTATACAACCCTCAGACCTACCACCTTTCTGGGGAAGAGGAGTAGTAAACTACATCTAGCCGGCCGAGAGCGTAGCACAAGGGAACTATCGTCGCAGTCGTCACTGTGCCATAGCCATCCCGTGCTACAGTTGCAGCCAAACTGTGCGGCAGCGTAACCGTCACAGTTTAACCTTTTTACGCAGCTTACACTCATCAAAGATGGAACATTGGAGTAGGCCAAAATCATCGTCCGGAGGTAAAATACCCCCTCGATCGGATCTCCCGGAGGGGGTGCATACTCGAGCGTATCATCGGAGAACTAAACATCGTCAATGTTTCACGTTTGCGGCGTGGAACGTCCGCACTCTACTGGACAGAACAAACTCCAATCGACCAGAAAGAAGAACAGCACTGGTCTCACAGGAACTCCACCGACTAAATATAGATGTTGCCGCTCTTAGCGAAACTCGCTTTGCGGATGAAGGTAGTCTCACTGAGGAGCATTACACCTTCTTTTGGAAGGGTCACCCGGCAACACACAGGAGAATTCATGGCGTAGGCATTGCAATCATAAACGAAATCGCCACCAAATTAACAGAGGTACCTATTGGTGTCTCCGAACGTCTTATGATCCTAAGGTACCCCATATCAGACAAAACTTACGTCAACATCATAAGTGCCTACGCTCCTACCCTAGACGCTAAAATTGAGGATAAGGATAAATTTTATCAAGCTCTGCAAAATATACTCCAACAAATTCCAAAGCACGAACGAATTTGTGTGAACATAAGTGCCTACGCTCCTACCCTAGACGCTAAAATTGAGGATAAGGATAAATTTTATCAAGCTCTGCAAAATATACTCCAACAAATTCCAAAGCACGAACGAATTATTTTGTTAGGTGACTTTAACGCCCGTGTCGGCAAACAACAGGAAATATGGCCTGACGTATTGGGAAAACATGGAATGGAAAATGTAAATAGCAATGGTGAAAGCTTATTAACAACATGCACAGAGTATAATATTTGCATTACCAATACGTGGTTCATGCTGAAGGACAAATTTAAAGGTACCTGGAAATATCCGAGATCAGGCCATTGGCACCAATTGGGCCACGTAATCGTTCGAAGGACGCACCTAAAAGATGTCAGTCTCACAAAAGCCAGAGTAGATGCCGAATGCGGCACTGACCACCGACTTTTAATCTCAAAAATGAAAATCCAGTTAAAACCCAAACATCCACACTGTAAAAAGCAAAGCTACATGACCAGATTGAACGTAGGAGGTCTAGAGAACAACGATACCGCCGACGCCCTCCGGAAAGCCATCAAGGAATCGCTTCCACCGATAACTTCAATCTCAGTCGTGGATGCTGAACATGACTGGACTCAACTAAGAGATGCGATTCACAAAACCAGCGAAGCAGTACTGGGAAAATCCAACAAAAAGAAACAACTAGACTGGTTTAACGAAAATCAACCGCATATACAGGCTTTGTTGGAACAAAAGCATAGAGCACATCAAGCCGTCACTGCAAATCCACACAATCCAAGACTAGCAGACAACTTTAAGGCAGCCAGCAGCACGCTCCGAAGAAACCTGCGCCAACTAAAGGATAACTGGTGGTTGCAAAAAGCTAGTCAGATTCAGGAGTATGCCACGCATCACGACTATCGTAAATCCTTCGAGGCTGTAAAAGAAGTATACGGTCCAACTAAGAAGGCAAGATGCCCAATCATGGCACAGAATGGTGAACTTCTAAAAGAGGAAGAGCAAATCAGAAACCGCTGGAAAGAGCATTACAGCCATATCCTTAACCAAGAAAACAACTCTAATATGGAAGCACTCAACATAATACCTCAGTATAACAGCCTCGATGTATTAGACATTCCAATAACAGAACAGGAAATAAAGGACTCCATAAAACAGCTTAAAAACAACAAATCAGCTGGCTGTGACGCGATTCCGGCCGAAATCTATAAGTGTGCAAGTAAAGAACTTATTGGTCATCTTAAGGCTCTCTTTGATGTCATATGGGAAAGCGAAGAGGTACCTCAGGACTTTTGCAACGCGAATATAGTGAATATATTTAAAAACAAAGGAAGTGCATCAGACTGCGGAAACTACCGAGGAATTTCACTACTGGCTATCGGAGGAAAACTTCTTGCAAAAATTATGTCAAACCGCCTGCACCCACATATAGAAAAAATCCTCCCAGAATCGCAAACGGGTTTTCGCATCAACCGCGGTACCGTCGATTCCATATTCTCCATCCGGCAACTATAGGAAAAAGTAAAAGAGTAGCAGTCTAAACTTTACGTTGCATTTATCGATCTAACAAAAGCCTTCTACTCTGTGAACAGAGATGCACTTTGGGCAATTATGAAAAAGTTCGGAGTACCCATCAAATTTCTTACAGTGTGTAAAAGCCTCCATAACAACAACAAATCAAGAGTGTCATATCATGGATCACTAAGCGATCCCTTCCTAACAAACACAAGCGTTAGGCAGGGATATGTCTTAGCGCCTCTCCTATTCAATATATTCATGGCAGGGCTTTCCATTATAGTGGACAGTAAACTGCATGAGAGAGGTTTGGTCATTAGATACAGATACGACGGCGGTCTGTTCAACATACAAAGACCCAGGGCAAAAACACGTACAAAATTCATCACAGAACTTCAATACGCTGATGACTGTGCTCTAGTTGCAAATACGTTACAGCAATTGCAAGAAATGTTGAACACATATACATGGGCATACGAGGCCTTGGGACTTAAGCTGAACATCAATAAAACTAAAATCATGTGCACTCTCCCGGAAGATCACAACAATGCTATAAAAATCGGAGATGAACGTTGGAATATGTAGCGGAATTCAATTACCTCGGCAGTTTGATTTCGGAAAAGGCCAATATCGACTCTGAAATTCAGCACAGGATTAGCAGCGCCTCAAGAGCATTCTGGAAATTAAAAGACAGGGTTTTCTACAATCATGATTTGAGCACAAAAACGAAACTTGCGGTGTACCGAGCGATAATAATTCCCACCACGTTAAATGGAAGCGAAACCTGGGTACCGTACCGCCGACACATGAACGCATTAAACAAGTTGCAACAGAGACATCTTAGACAACTCTTAAGAATCAAATGGTTCCATCACGTCTCCAACGTATCGGTTGGGAGTGATTCATCGGTCGCTACGATGTGAACTAATCTGTTCAAGGTCACATAAAACTTAATTCCAGTGCCGTGGTGTTTCAAGTCATATAATAATCAATATATAATCTGTTGTAATTTGTTGTTTTAGCTGTCAAAGTCTTGTCAAAACATATATTTGGTTATAAATATAAACTGGAATGCCCCATTGGTCGCACTGCAAGCACACCAATGGACTGACGCACAAAAACGAATCAATCAAAGAAACACGATATAGTATCGTTTTTGTCATTCACGGTAACATTTTAGAATAAGTAGGAGGAGCGCAGGTAGATGATTAGACCGGGCCTTTAAAAACCTACGTCTGCGGTAAAAATTTACGTTTTTAATGTAAAAATGATAGCGCGCGTGTCGATTCTAACTTCATCAAGCGATGAATCACTCCCAAACATTCGTGGCGTTTACTATACCAAAATCTCTGCTTTACGGTGAGCTTGTAGACGGTAAGAGGAGGCCGGGTGGACAACTCAAAAAGTTCAAGGATATTTTCCACGAAAACTTAAAGGGAATTAACAAGCAGAATGAGTGGGAAGAGGCAGCTCACAATAGAACGGAATGGAGAAGAATTGTAAAATCAGTTAAGAGCGACAACCAAAAAGTAAAGAGGCAACAAAGCAATGAGATTTTTGAATGTCTAGAGTGCGGTAGACAGATAACATCACGTATCGGGCTTTTCAGTCACAGAAAAGCTCATGAAAGAAAACGCCTTGCGTGACCATCTTCTGATGCGTGTCGAATACTCGTCAGCGAGTAATGGCGGTATAGTATGTATTGTATTTAACATAATAAACAATTAAATTGTGTTTGAATATACCGTATAAAAGAAAAACGGCGTCAGCGATGGCCATGAAATGAAGATCGCTGTCATTTTTTTATCTAAAATTATATGGGGAATCATCGATGTTCATTTCCAAGCCAACTGGACGCCGTTTTTTTTTCGATCATACGGTATTTCGTAGTAGTCACCTACATTATCGGACAAAAGTAAAGCAACTTAAAGCCCAATATTTAAGTACCGTATGATCGAATAAAAACGGCGTCCAGTCCGGTATTTAAAATGCAATTAGCAAACAACTGTGAAATCAAAACTTATGAAGTTTTCATAGTAGGCATGCTAACCATAGGTAAAATGTTATTGTTTTCAAATGTCAGATAAGTTTGTATCTGATAATTTAAGAAAGGATTTACGATAAAGGTAAATTTAAATTTCTAATTCTGCGGGCTAATTAAATCTTACAGCTTTCATTTTCATTTAAATAAATATACCAAAAGAAAAATCATTATCTGTAAAGTTGAAACAAATGGCCACAAACGCCTTTTTAGCAGGAAAGCGTAAGGTTACGATTTCTAATCAGTTTAAATTGCCAAAATACAGCGTGACGAAAATAATTTCATGGTTTAATGCAAGAGGTCATATTGAAAAAATGACAAGATCAGAGAGGCCTAACTATATTTTGGATGTACAGTACGATCAAAAGAATTCCTCGGAATGACCTACGGTTTAACAACCATAAGTCATTCATAAAATAACAAGTATATCCAAATCTGAAGAGGACATATTTTATTACAAGAAGTGTCTCATAACTTGAAGAACTATGAAAAATATTTCTTTAAAAATTAACCTAGAATAGTGTAATAAAACTCTCACTATAGGTTACCTAACCTAACGGACCAAGAATACTTGCTAAACTTTCTGAACGACAAGTTACTTTGAGTTCAGCGATGATTAGTTGAGACAAAACTGTATAAAAGCAGACGTCCAGCTAAGAAACCATTGCATTGGTCTCAGAAGTAAATCGCCTTGATATACTAGAATTTGCACGACGACACTTGAATTGAACAGTTCAAGATTGAAAAAAAGTATTGTTTAGTTACGAAACTAGTTACAAAATTTTTAATTTTGACGGAATGAGGAGTGTGAGAAAGACGGTCTGTTAAAACAAGGTTTCATCCAAAGTATGTTACGCCAACAATAAAGAATGAACAAGGTAGTGTGTTTTTATAGAGTTGTTTTTCGTGATGTGGGGTAGGTCCATTACACTCCATAGAAGGCACTATGGATCGATTGGAGTACAGGGACGTTCTCCAAACCGTGATGTTGTCTTATGCTGAGTGGGAGATTCATCTACGATTTTTGTTTTGAACAATTGACAGGACTAAAAAAAATTGAATTGACCCATAAAATTCATCCCGTCTTGTTCAGGAGTGGTTTCAGAATAAATATTTCAGGAAACTTCAGGGATATATTATATTACTTATTGTATAGAACGTCGTATTCGCGTTACAAGTGTTTCAAATAAACATGCTTTAATTGATAAATTTAAGAAAAATTGGTCGAATTATTTATTTGGATTACTGCTGTCTAAAATTTAATTTCATCAATACCGCGACGTTGTCAAAAAGTTATAGCTAACAATGAATATTCTATTAATTATTAAGAATATGTTTTTATATCGTTAAGTTGCTTTACTTTTGTCCGATAGTGTATGTTTAAATAATTAACGTATTTAAGCTACATAAATTTACAAAAATAATTTAGATATCGATGGGCTATGTTATTTTAAACGAGAGCTATTGACACTGAATTGTTACAGAATACCTTCACAGTTGTTCGGCTGTGTATGACTTTTGTATAAAATTGGGCAAAAATACGGTTCTCATTAAATATTATGGCTCTGTTTTTGCTTATTGAAATTATCAATTGAGGGGATTAGAATAAAAGGCATACAAGTGACTTTTTGTTTTAAATGGAGTTAAGTACAGATTTGGATACTTTAGATACCAATTTATTTAGTATAAACGCAGTGCCATTGTAGAATTTACTTAATTCCATTTTAAATCAAATAAATTGGCACCTTAAGTATCTAAATCTGTACTTAGAAAAAAGTCACTTGTATCCCTTTTATTCTAAGCCCCTCAATTGTATTTGTACATAATTTGTATTTGTACTTACCGACCAAATTTGTTAGCAACTATACCACCTCCAAAACCCCCAATCATTCCTCCAATAGCAAAAATTGACACAGCAACTGAGTATAATGTTTTAACAATTTCCTCTGGAAGATCTTCAGCATAACGCGACTTATAAACATCTTTAATAAAATATTCTATATTACTTTGTGGTGCATTTATTACCCCGGTATTGTAACCAAATTGTAGCATGCCCAGTACAGCTGCAAATATTGCATATGACAAGAAAGCAGTGAGACCCTGAAAAAAGTAAAATATTATAGGTTTACAGATATAAATCAAAAGTTGTATATTAAATATAATTGAATAAGTTTTTCTATCTCGTATTTTTTTGCAATTCTGTATAGAAAAGATCATCAAATAGTTATCTATACAGGATCCGCCAATTGTGCGTCGGGCATATGTAGCTTCTAGAATAAAAAACTTAGAAATTTTGTTTAAGTGCAGACTTAAAGTATGTACTAGGATGTATTTCAGAAAAAATATTTTAACTTCTACAGAGTGAACGGAACACCCTATATATTATTGCATTTTTTCTTTCCATTATTTTACATAATTCTAAGATATCGGTAAATATGTTTTGATAGTTTCAGTGATATTAATAAATAAATAAAAAATATATATATTTTCAACCTTACTTGAAAAAATTATTTCAAATACAAGAACTGTCCTGAAATGAAAACTATATTAGGTATTTACTTTAGATGGTCTTAAACTTACTTTACTATAAATATTGTAATCTTAAATCATACAAGATGTTCAAAATTCAAAGCCAAACTTTCAAAGCTAAAATTTTTGAAATACTCTAAATATAGACAGTGTTCATTTTTTAATTCTCCATCTAATAAAAAAATAATATACAGAGTGTTCCATAAAAAAAAATAAAGAAAAAATATTTTATATTTTAGAAAGTTTGGCATTGAATTTTGAACATCCTGTATGATTTAAGATTACTATATTTATAGCAAAGTAGGTACAGACCATTTAAAGTAAATATCTAGTATAGTTTTGATTTCGTGACATTTTTTAATATTTTTTTAAGAAAAGCTGAAAAATATACACATATTATTTATTAATATTTCTGAAACTATTTAAATATATTTATTCACATCCTAGGATTATATAAAGTGATCTGTAAGGAAGTGTTCCATTTAAAAAAATCATCCCGATCCACTCACACTTTTTTGAGCCACCCTGTAGAAGTTAAAATATTTTCCTGAAATACACCCTAGTACATACTTTAAGTTTGCACTTAAACAATATTTCAATATAAGTTTTTTATTCTAAGAACAGATGCCCGACGGACTAATGCCGGACCCTGTATACAGGGTGGTCCGAACTGTATTCCGGGAACTTCGCCACATATTCTGCACATGAAAATAAGTAAAAAAGTTCGTATAAATGTATGTCCTAAAATGCTTAGTTTCGGAGATACAGGGTGTAAAAGTTTCATTTTTATTTCGATTTTTATCAAATGATATCTGAGGTGACGTCAATATTTGGATGAAAATTGGTGTCTGGGAGTTTTTTGACATGAGAAATTTGATTTTGATGTCAATATGACTCGTACTTGTAGAGGGCGTCCCCTACATGTGTTTTAACTGTTTTGAAGAGTAATAACTTTTTGTCCGTACCTGTATAAAACTACTGTGTGAAAAAATATACTTTTCTGTAACTTTTTACGTAAAAAATGTCTTTTGGTAAAAATCGCGGCGAGCAAGCGTTCTCAAGATATTTAGAATAGAAATAATAAATTTGGAAAATTTTTATTTTTTTAAATTAATCATAAATTTTTCTGCGAAGAAATTATGATAAAACGGATTCTGTTGAACTTTTGGCACAAAAACATTTCAAATTTGTGATTTCAGTCTAATAACTATTTAGTCAACATATCTAATTCATATCAATGATGGCAGATATTGATAATTTCGATTCCAAATATCTCGAGAACCAGTACTCGTAGTGATTTTTGCGAAGAGACCTTTTTTACGTAAAAATGGTCGTAAATATATATTTTTTTACTCTGTTGTTCTATACAGGTACGGATGAAAAGTTATTACTCTTCAAACCAGTTAAAAATATGTAGGTGGCGCCCTCTACAAGTAGGAGTCATATTGATACCAAAATCAAATTTCTCATGTCAAAAAACTCCTAGATACCAATTTTCATCCAAATATTTACATTACTTCAGAAATTATTTTGAAAACATCGAAATAAAAATGAAACTTCTACACCCTGTATCTCCAAAACCAAGAATTTTAGGACACACATTTATACGAACTTTTTTACCTATTTTTATCTGCAGAATATGCTGCCGACATTTCCGGAATACAGTTCGGACCACCCTGTATACAGGGTGTCTAAAAAAACGACTTCCATCTCTCGTAGAGAGGTTCCTCACGTAAAAATAAGGTTAGTAAAATTCGGTGCGAACAACCGTTCTCGTGTCAATAAACACCCAGACATCAATTTTCATCCAAATATCGATGTTATTATGACGATATTCGATCAGAAATAATTTGAAAAAAAACGAAATAAAAATAAAAAATAAAAAAAACAGAGCGTACAACAAAGCACATATTCGAAGTGAAACTTCTTACTAACAGCAATTAAATTGCAGGATTTGAAGGGTATATATTTTTTTATGAACGCTTTTCATAAACTTAAAAAAAAATAGAGTTAATATAAAACCGTATACTAGTCTAGCTTTATAATAATTTTATAATGTTTTTTTTTAATTTTTATTAAAAAACGATAATTGAATCACCCGGCCGAATAGCCCTGGCCCTTAAACCAAAATATTACTACATCTATATGTCTGACTATTACTAACCAACAATTTGTCTTGTGTGGTCTGTTTTTGTTTAAATGTTTTGTTTATTATTCATTATTTATAGTGATTTACAGTAATTTTATTAAATTATACAAATATTCTCGTTGATTATTGGTTTGAAATAAATATGGCAGTATCCTCCAATAAAAATACGGGTTACTAACTCTAAATCCTAATTCTGAGCTGACAAAGGAGCTAGATGCTTTACCTAGACAAACAATGCTAGATGCTTTACCTAGACCGTTATTCAGAAGCTATAAACCTATCGATGAAAATATGCATGAAAATTTACTTCCTAGCATACAACCAGAGGATAGTGGTACACAAGGTTGGTGCAGTATCAAGTTTATTATAGTGATTTTCTTAGCCGGTATGGTACAGATCATTACCCAGTAAGTTGCCACAAGCTTATTTTTCATAAAGGTAGATTATTACGAAATAGCGGGGTTAAATTGTTTTATAAAGGGGTAGATTGGCCGAATGAGATGGCTTTGGCAACACTGCCGTTACCACTTTTCCTCTTGCTAGCTCGTGCGTCACGACCGTCACTCAATACCGTGTATGACGGCTTTGAATTTTTACTCCCAACGCGCGTAACTTCAAAACGAAATTTCTACACCTTGTAGCTCCGAAACGAAGTATTTTAGGAAATAAATTTATACGAACTGTTTTACTTATTCTGATCTAAGACCATGATCAAGCCAATCTTGGTTTTCCATTTGCTCATCACTAATTTTATATGACAATAGAAAAATGCGACATTGTGTCAGTAGATAAAACTTTTAATAATATACGTGGGTATGCTGTTAATACATACAGAAAGATGGACACACGCCAAAGAAATATTGGAAACCAAGATTCCAAACGTTTGTAAATGCTTGTAAATTTTTGTAAACTTGCTATCCACACGCAAGCAGCGTTCGTTTTCAACAGTTGTTAGCTAAGCGAATTGAACCGGAACTGCACCTATTTCTGCGCCGTGTATCGTGCAGAGCTGACAGCTGCGCGTTTGTAGCTGACAAACTAATGTTTGAAAATTTTCGTTTGTGGACATCTGACGTACAGGGTTTCCCACTAAGAATAGCTCTCGGCTGTATCTCGGAAAGTATTAGCCGTAGGGGCTGCGGAAAAAATATTTATAACTAAAGGGGCTATGGGAAATTGCTGGAAATTATTTTCAAGTTTATAGAACGACCGCTAGGGGGCGCAACTGCAACAAAAAATAAGAAAATTGAGCTTCTACACAATTTTGCCTAGATAAGCTGTACTATAAGTAATAGCTTCATAATCTTTAGTATATTTTGAATATTTTTTGTTAAAGCCATTTTCCCCTATCTACCAAAATAAAGTGGTGGGGAAAAATTAGATCTATTTTTATTTAAATATTAGTAACTCTGGACTGGATGATCGGAATCCAACAGGCGAGGGCTCGTTTAAAAGAACGTTTCTTACTCTATATTGTACCATATAAACAATAATAATAAGCTTTTGAACGTAGACACTAGGGGGCGTTGTCTTACAATTTAATAAACATTGCGCGTTTTTTCAAAAAAATTAAATGCAATAGTATTTGTAATTTTAGCTGATAGTAAAGAGTAGTAAAAGCTTAAAAAGTTAGCGAAAACCGCATCTTGATATCTTCTTTCAAAGCGGAGATATTAGCAAAATTATAATAAATACCAAAAAATAAGCCCTTAATTACATTATTTTTGCAACACGGTATCGTAGCCCTCTTAATTATGCCCATTATAACAGAAAAATAAGATAGGAACAGTTAGTTTATTTTAAAATCGACGAAATACCAGAATACCATAATACCAGATTAAGATATTAATAACAGTGAACAAGAAACGATGATTTAGTGAAGTCATGGTAGGCTTTGGAAAAAAGTTGCTTTTGACGTAATAGTATAAATGTCAAATTATTATTAGATCAACATTTTGATAGTCTTATCAGCGTTTTTTATATTTTGATTGCGTTTTCAAAATGCCAACAACTTCAATTATTTCAAATAATAAAGGCATTTTGAAAAAGCAATTAAAAGATAAAAAAACGCTGATAAGACTATCAAAATGTTGATCTAATAACAATTTGACGTTTATACTATTACGTCAAAAGCAACTTTTTTCCAAAGCCTACCATGATTTCACTGAATCATCGTTTCTTGTTCACTGTTATTAATATCTTATTAGATATTAATACCTCTGGTATTTTGGTATTCTGGTATTTCGTCGATTTTAAAATAAACTAACTGTTTCTATCTTATTTTTTTGTTAGAATGGGCATAATTAAGAGGGCTATTGGTACCGTGTTGTAAAAATAAGGTAATTAAGGGCTCATTTTTTGGTATTTGTTATAATTTTGCTAATATTTTCGGTTCGAAAGAAGATATCAAGATGGGGGTTTC